TCTCTGCGGCAGCGACGCAATTCAGCAGACTCCGTCCACGCTGACAGTGCGGGGGCGCCGCCACTTCGGCCGGTGATGTACACTGCGCACGAGCGTGCAACGGAGGTGTCAAGCTGGCTTATCATCGCAACACGCAGGGACACGCGCAAGATTGGTGTTCCGTCCTCTCTGGCCCCACTACTCACGGAGGAGCTGCCCGTGGAGCACCCGGACTACCTGCAACAGCAGGTACTACGCACTGTCAGCGTTGGCTCCGACGCGGTGTGTGCAGCGCAGAAGATTCAATGTGACGCCGCAGTGAAGGATAAGAAGTGGCGTGCGCATCAAAACTTTCGTGAAAAGGCACTCGAGACAGCACCAGTGCAGGAATTAGTGATTCGCAACTACAAGGCAACCTTTGACCACTGCACCGAAGAAGGGCAGGTCCACCTCAAGAATCTGGAGGAGTTCGCGGAAGCCATTTATGAGCGGATGCGCCTCATCCTGATGGCACACTTCCCGCCCTGCATGGACGGTCACCCGACGTTCTTTCAGAGGCAGAACGTCAACAAATTTGCAGCACGCAAGTTGCAACTCTTTCAAGAGCGCCTGCAAGCATTTCTCCTTTCCTGTGTTGATCATGCCCTGGCAAAAAAAAGCATCACAAACCGACTTGACCTGTACGTCATTACACCGCCAAGCAGGAACGCATTCGTCCTGCACGGTGCGGAGCCAGCGGCCGTGACGGCGCTCATCGGCGCCTTCACGTCTGGCCTGATGACAAAGGAACCACAGAAGTACCGCGTCGCATTTCACACGACACGTTCGCCGCTTCTCACGGAAGAGCCAACAGAATTGCGCGAAATCATTTGTCATATCATTCTGCAGTTGTGCCCTGATGAGGAGGTGTACCAGCAGGCCATCAAGGAAGTAGATATGAAGTGCCTGCAGAAGCTCTTCGCTGAGGTCTTGACAGAGAAAACGAAGCCGCCTGAAACATTCACCGGTAGCAAGGGTAACAGGAGTGAGAACAGCATCACGGTGGTTGTGCTTGACGGGCTGGACTGTGTGCTTCCTCCGGTTACGCCGTGCGCAGCGCTGCGAGTCTCGGAGGAGACGGGGAAGGATGTATGGGATGCGCCGGTGTCGCCTTTGCTTCCTCGGAAGCAGCAGTACCAGGAGGAGGACCCTTTCGCATACATCCCCCATTGCCTCTCGCGTAACGTGCGCCTTGTGTTGGGCTGCGAAACGGACTCTGACTTGCACCACCGACTGGAATCACGCGGGCGTGACAGCGTGGAGCTTCTCCCGATGGGCCCCATGACGCCCAATGACTTTGACGAGATGCTTCGCCCAACGGTGATGTCGAAGTTTGGTGTGACACTATCAGACGATGACTTTGTGCTCATCCGCAAGAAGGAGGAGGCGCTTAGCCCGGAGTATATCACACTCGTTGTGGATGCACTGCGCAGCTTCAACGAGGCACCTGGCGTTGAGACACAGGCGGTAATCGCGTCATTGCCGGGTACTGTAAAGGAGATGGTGCAGCAGGTGTACAGCAATCTGCGCAAGTGCTTTGGCTTCCCTCACATACGTAAATGCTCGTGGCTGTTGATGTGCTCCCGCTGGGGTATCTACGAACCGCAGCTGCGCGCGATGCTTCAGCTCCCCCAGCAGCGGTTCAACCAGCTTATGCGCATGATGCGACCGCTGTTGGAGCACAGCACTCCGTCTATTCTCGGAATAGAGGGTGGAAATGCCCTGCACGTGCGTGTCTGCATTCGATCCCGCGCATTTCGCGAGTTGCTCGAGCGTGAGGACCTTCGGAATGAAGAGAGTGAGAACGACCACAAGGTGTGGCATGACATGCTGGTCCACTGCTACCTCAATGTCGTTCACGAGGTCATTGGCCGCGAGCAGACGCCGCCCATCTTTGGCCTGCTCTCCACCAGCCCGTACGAGCGCATGGCGGTAAAGGAGCTGCTGTATCATGCCGTGCAGGCCGACACACGGCATATCGTGCACCGCCTCGTGCTGTCGATGCCGTACCTGATGCTGGTATACCGCAACGGACTCGGTTACCACCTTGTGCGGGATCTCATCGCCGCCTTCAACGCCTTCTTCGTCCTCTACGAGTTGGGAGAGTACGCGGACGACAATGAAGCCGAGAGAGGGGAGATGCCGACGTCGCTGTCGCGGCTGCGCGACTACATCTACTTTCTGCGGCAGAACAACGCGCGGCTCATGGAATTCCCGCACCTTGTGCTCCAGGTGGCAATTGAGAGCGCGGCGCGTTTCCGCTTCGTTGGCGGCGACGCACGGGAGTACGTGGCGCGGTGCATGAGCCACCACGCGCCTGTCGCGCAGCGCCGCGTCGTCTTCTTTGAGGTGATAGACAACGCGCGGTCGACGATTCACCACGGCGCCGTCACGGCGTGTGTGTTCGCACCTCGGGCGAAGCGCATCATTACGGGCAGCGCGGACCGCAGCGTCTGTAGTGTGAACCCTGCGACGGGCGCCGTTGCGGTGCAGGCGCGGCAGGCGCCCACGCGCGTGGAGGTGATCGTCTACTGCGAGACCGGCGCCTACCACGCCGCCGTGTGCCACGACCGAACGCTGCTCATCTACGACAGCGCACAGATGAGGCTCGTGTCACGGTGTGACGGCGGCGTGTTCGGCGCGCCGCTCGCTTCCGTTGTCTTCTCTGCGCGCGGTCGCTTTTACATTGTGGCGACGGAGGACCTGCACGTGCGGGTCTTTGAGACGGAGAGGAGCTTGGAGATGCTGCACGTTGACCAGCGCCAGTTCTTGAGCAACAGCGGCGGGGTCTCGGAAGTCAATCTTCTGCGCGGGTACGCCGCAGTGGTGCCACACCGCGTCGAGGACGAGGTGTTTTACGTAACATGCCACAACGTTGTGAACATGTGGAAGTTAACGCCGACGCGCGACGAGTTTTTGCACGAGATGAGCTTTGAGTTGCCCTTCACGGTGGACTCAGGCAAAGCGGTTATGTCTGGCACTCACCTGCTGCTGCACCCCGCCCCTTTGCCCGTTCCAGCGGATGGGCATCGGCCAGCACCACGCCTAATGCGCATCTGCAGCATTGCGGAAAGGCGTGAAGTGGCGGTTCTGACGAGTCCCTGCAGCCAACTGTTGTACCAATTCTCCGTGGACGAGAAGCTTGTCGCGTGTGCTCTAGATGATGGCTCTTTGACCGTCTACCGAGTCCCGTGGGCGTGTTTGCAGGACGGCCAAGTGAACTTAATGTCGATTGTGCCATTCGTTCACTTCAGCGCGTTCTGCGAATCACCGGTGCCGACGGTGCAGGCTCTGCGGTTCCGCGGCAATAGCGCGGGTCTGTTCGCCTTGGGTAACAGCACCATGATGAAGTATTGGGCGCTGCCACGCAAAATGGGGAGGACGAGTGGCGGCGATAGTGTCGACAGTGAAGAGCAGCAGGAAGCAGACGAGTGGGACGTGGCGGAAGAAGAACAGGAGGATGAGATTCTGGTGGGCGTGGCGGACGGCGAATTCGTGCTCGCGGCCGATGAGGCCACGGCGTGGGATGTGACGCAGGCGTCGCCCACGCGCGAAGCGGAGATTGTCTTCGGCGACGCGTCAGGGCGGCTGACGATGTTACGCATGTGGAGTCCGCTGATGTAAAGAGCGAAACACACATACAAGGAGAGAGATAGAGAGAGAGAGAGAGAACGGTGTGTGTGTTTGTCTGCGTGGAAGAGAGGGAGAAAGAGAGAGAGAGCGAAACAAAGAGAAGACGAAGGTGTGATGTACATTGCAGAGTATCCAGGCTCACTTGGGTCCCTCCCTCTGTCATTATTTCTCGGCTGCTGGACGAAGAGGGCGGCGTGGCGCTGCGGTGCTTTCCCCCACCCCCTCCTCCCCCGCGCTGCCGCGGCTGCTGCTGCTGCTTGTGACCGCACTGTTGCCTGCTCACTGTTTCTCTTTGCGTCTGCGAAGCCCACGCCGAACGCGCAGACAGGGCACCGCAAGCTTACAACATATACGGAATCACAAGGTGAAGAGTCAGCAAAAAAAGAAGGACACATATATTTTGAAAAAGAAAGAAAAAACGGAAAATACAGCATTGCAAAATAAAACAAAAAAAAAGTGAACAGAAAAGGAAGAAGCTGAGGGGTGAATAAGCTTCCCTGTTCCTCCTCTTCCTCCTCCTCTCGCGCTGAGAGGAAGTCCCTGTCATTGTGTGTTACCACACGCTCTCGGCTGCGTTGCTCCCCTAGCTCCGCCCGGCTGTCTTTTCTCCCCGCCGCGGTGGTGGCGCATGAACGTGCCCGCAATCCAAAACGGCACCTTCCCTGGCCCGGTGCGGCAGCGGCGGGGGCGACTGGGACTTCAGCCGTCCGATGCGACGCGCCAGTACGCCAACTCCGCGACGCCGCACACGGTTACAGAGCTGCCGCGGTACCCTGGCACCCACCGCTCGTACTCGCGGCACAGCCCCGAGGAAGTGTCGCATCTTTCAATTGGAACTATGCGGCCGCCGTCGTGCCACAGTTACGATGCGCAGCAATATAGCGCGTTTCGGTCGCGCTCGTGTCACCTCTCTGTGAGGTTTTCACAGCCGACGCAGCCGCAGTTGGTGCCGCTGCAGCTGCAACAACAACAACCGCAAGAACAGCTGGTGCCGCTGCAACTGCAGCTGCAACAACAACCAGAACAGCAGAAATCGAAGATGCAACAACAACTAGTGACAAGTCAATCGCTTGTGAGCACTGTTATGCCATCAGTGGTGGTACCGCGAGCCCCGTCCAGCGCGAGCAGTCAGTGCGCACCGATCCCGTTGCGCAACTTTGGCAACACGTGTTATCTGAATGCGATCATTCAGTGCGTTGTACACTCGCCAGGGCTGCTCTCAAGGTTGGAGCAGTCAATAGGGATGGCAAAGCGGCAACGGGCGACATCCGCCTTGCTGGACTTAGGTGCAACGAATGTCACAAACCCCGGGCAATTGCTCCTCGCCGTTAAGAACGAGGCGGCCAGGCGCAATGACGAGTTCAGCGACAACACCCAGTCAGACGCCCATGAGTTCCTGCATACGTTTCTCTTCGCGGTACATAGTGAGATCAACCGTGGTGAGGGCGACAACGCCGCGTACGAGGAGCTGAAGGACATGGAGAACGAGAGCGAAGAGGCGGCGATGCAGCGGTGGTGTGAGCATCACCTCCGCGTCGATGACTCCGCCATATACGAAGTCTTCGGTGGTGTGCTGCAGTCGAAGTGCGTGTGCTCGTCGTGTGGCCGGAGGTCGCTTACGTTCGACCCCTTTCTCGACCTCTCACTGCCGATGCCGACGTCGAAGAAGAGCGCCTCGATTGAGAGCATCCTCAAGGACAACTTTGAGGACGCGTGCGAGACGCTGCGCGGTGGCAACCAGCTGCTCTGCATGCAGTGCAAGCGGCTGCGCAATGGCTCGCGTATTGTGCGGGTCATGGTGTGGCCAAGCATTCTAGTTCTGCACCTGAAGCGCTTCGACGACACAGGCCGCAAGAATGGCGCGCCTGTCGTTTACCCCGAGGCGTTCATGACGTGTGGCGACAACCCAACGCGCTACCGGCTGTACGGAGTCGTGTGCCACCACGGCACGGAGAACTGGGGGCACTACATGAACTACATCTGTGTCGCGTCCGATAGGTGGTATCTGTGTAACGACGCCACCATCACGCCTGCAAGTGCGGCGGAGGCCGTGCAGGCGCTGGCGCACGCGTACATTCTCTTCTACGCGATGGTGAAGTAGCCGACTCAGATTGACGAGGGCGCCCAGAC